ACAGTATTCAGGCTTGTAGTTTTTGCATTTATCACAGCTGATTAAGGAGGAAGCACAGATAGCCTCTGATTCTCGACAACATAAATTGTCTTCATTGCAGACAACTGGACAATGGGTGGGGGAATATTTTGTCATGGCAACTGCTCAACAGGTGATAAGTATAAATGGCTGCTGAATTCCAGAATGTGGAAAAGGGAGTATGGACTTGCACGCCCCTACAACTTAAGGCCTATCAGTTTTCAAGAGGAAACTTCATCTGTCAGTTGTTCAACTCTGAAGACTGGAAGGAACTTCCTTCATTGACATGTAATAGTAAAATAATCACCACCATAACATAAGATCTACCAAATACTCTGTAGACAGAAAAACAATGCTATTTAAAGACTCCAAGGAAGACTATATATCTGAAGATAATTTAATATAGGAAACCTTAGGAACTGTGTGAGGAGATAAAGTTTCTATTAAGCAATGACCCATAAATTAAGAAGGTAAGAAAACTGACCTAACAGTGCTGTGGGATAAAAATCCATTAAGAAGCCAGTAAGCAAAACTTTCTGCTAATAATCAAACTAGTCATTTATATGATGAATGAGAACTTTCTTCAGGTTACCTATCTCACCTCTCCACAGGCAGTGCTAAGATACCCCAACACACAATTTGTTCACCATTATCAGCTCTTCACTGTGCTTCAGTACTTGCACTGGTCTCTATGTCTAGCCTTACAAGCCCCCTCAAGAATACAATCCACATACTTTTATCCCAACAAGCAGCATAATCTCTAACAGTTGGGCCCTCATTAGATTCTTGATTAGCGTGCGAAATGAGCACTCAGAGTTGGCTTGGCTTTCTTTTCAGCTAACATTTTTGTAATCAGCATACAGAAAACCCAGTCTGCTACCTAAACACTCAGACTGGATTATGGGAATAGAATTAAAAGGTATATGAAGGGAAATTTTTTACTTTTAGGAAAAACAGACCTTATGTAATAGACAAAGGAATGAAGATGGCATCAAGTAAGTAGCAATTTAAAGAGATAAGTAGTGAGACTCTTAGATGATTTAGGATGAGGACATGTTTTTCTAACCATGTTCTAGAAATTAAGTGACCCAGGATATTTAGACTACTTTTATCAGAAGATCAGTTTCCCTTTTCTTTCTTCATTTCTTTTTCCTTCCCACTTTTTTTTCTCTCCCATTTTCCTTTAAGGATTTATTTTATTTATCCATACAAGCACTGGTATAGGCCAGAAGTACAAGGGTCAAGAAAAGGGGACAGGATTCACCAGAGACAGAGTGGTGCGCAAAGTACGTGGATCTACTGATGTACACCACTGAGGGGAGCAGTGGGTGGGTCAGGAGAGGTCTGCTGTGCCATGTGGGTCACCTCCCTGGCTGGGGATCAAACTCATGCTCCTGGAAGATAGCTTGACAGTGCTGAGACTTCACCTCTGCACCACCAGGGAGGTCCCTCCTTTGGACATGCCATTGACATCTACAGACATTTCAGTGCTAGCTGTTAGATTTAAGCCTTAAATCTCAGTGTCATACAAGATGGAGGTTACCACCTCAGTAAAGTCCAAAAGGATTGGGCAGACTTTCCTAGACTTTTAGGGACCCTGACTTCTTTCATTTTATGGTCTCACCTTCTTTTGAAGTCTCAATCTTTGCTATTCAACTGAAGATAGATTCATTCAAGGGTCAAATTGTAATTCAAACAGGTTGGTTCTCAAGCATCAATGCCACAAGTGAAGCACAACACTGGCAATATCCCATTATTAGTGCTAAATATAAGAGAATGGGCATTGGAGTCCAGCTGTGGCCCTTGTGCACAACCAGCCTGCCTCTGCCACAAAGCCCAGGTTACCCCACAACAGATAATCATGAAAAGAGTATTTTCTCACTTAATCCTTGCAAAAATCTGACGGAATAGGGTATTAGTCACATAGTGTTGTATGATAAACCGAGATTTGTACCCAATTCTAACTTCAGTGCCCACTGCTTCATGACAGTTTGCCAACGAAATCATAATGTTGAAGTGAGATTATACCTGATAGAATTATGATTAAATTTCAAAGATCATTTAACTGCTATATCAGTGGAGCCCATCTTCTGTGGTGTATTTCTAATTGGTATAATGGACTTATGCTAGTTCACCTGAACTCTTTCCCAACTCTACAGCAATAGGTCTGTAGAGATCATTGCAGTTTCTGCAGTATAAGAATACAAGACTATTCATTGTCTCATCTATGTCTTAGTAACTTACTAATGACTGACTAGCACACACCAGATTTTCCAAGTGAACAGCTTCATACCTCACACTTTAAAAAGACATTTTAAACATGTAGATTCATGTTTATCTTCACAACCCTTTAAACAGTAGGTCAGATAAATCTATCTGCAGATAAATAGCTTTTACAAAAATACAGTGTTAAGCATAATATATATGTAACATATGAGACATATTACTTCATTTAATCCCTGACACTACCTAATGAGTTAAATGTTATTACCAAACTTTTTATTGATATGGAAATCAAGGCACGGATTGTTTAGCAACTTAACTGAGGCAACAGAGTTGAGCAGTGAAAAAAGTAGAACAGGTCAGGCTACTAGTGAAAGTCTCTAGTAATTTTCCCAGAGTTCCAGTTGCTAGGTTCTATATCTTGTTTGCCATTATCCTTGCCATATGTTATTTCTACTCCTCAAAATAACACATAGGATTTTGATGGCATTCTGTATCCTCATTACACTTTATTACATGAACCTGGTATGTAAAACCTAACAGCTTTTATTGTTTTACAAAAAATGCCCTGCTGTTTCAAGAATTTGGAAAAACCTAATTTAGTTGTTTGTGCAAGTAAATCTACAAATTTATAGAGATATCTCTTCACTTCCTCTAAAACAAAATGCATGTATTCTAGCAAGCTACTTATTTGTGGTATTATAGAAACATCAATTTCCATTCTAAGAAAGATTTGACTTAATGTCTTCTGGCAAATTTCTCATCACCAGCGCAAAACTGGATGCAACTATTGTTTAAAATGAAAGCTTTTGAGATGTTAGTCATTTTAAGTGAGTCACTCCCTAAGAGAATTCGCTTGGGAGTCAGAGAAAGGTGACTTTAATATCTCAGAAATAAAACTCCAATCAATTTGTTCATCTGTTCAGTCTACTATGAATATGTGATGTTGCAGAAACCTCGGGGAAAATTAAAAAACACTGAAATTGTACTGGCCATTGGAAACTCTTCCTGGTATACTTCACTATTTAAATGCTTGCTGTAATTTCAGGCAAATATAACTGTAGAAAAGTCTTGTGGCACAGGCATTGTCTACATCATACCCAGTAGGTGAAAGTCAAGAATCACTTAATGTGTCTGCTACTAGAAACCTCTATAGAACTTGAGGTTGAACTCTAAAAGGCTCTTTTCTCAATTATGCCTAGCAGGCCTTGGTAGAAAAATCAGCAAGGCCAAGGTAGAGTTTTTACACAAGAGTAAAAGGAAGAATCACTTTTAGCTATAAATTCTGGTGACTTTTGAAAGTAGTTCTGCATTCTTTTCTAAGCTTTATCGCCTTTAAGGGAGAAAGGGCAGAGGTCTTTTACACTATGATTTATCTTTGTGAACTTCCTTCACTTGACTGGGTGGAGGCCTTACCGTTTTAGGTTGGCGCCTTTGCTCAGCACCTGCAATTTCCGCCTTTCTTACCCCTCGTGCAGTCTCGGGGTCCCTTCCCTCCTCCAGCTGGGTCAAGGAGTGCCCTGGGAACTACTGCTTCCCTCAAGCCTCCCCGGAGTAAAGGGTAATATGCTTTCTGCTTTAAATCACTGCAGCAGGTCTTTCAGTGAAAGCTTTATTTGGATGCAAACATCTAACGTTTAGGAAGCGAGTCCGCACGTTCAGACCTGTTCTGTGCCTCTCATCACGTCAAGGCTCCCCATCACCCAGGTCCAGCCCTCGGTCTGCGAGGACTGTCCTTTCCCGGCGGGGATGGCTCTCTGAGAGCCGCAGCGTCCCCCGCTAGGGCTCACCTCCCGCCAACTCCACCTCACCCCCACTTCGCGCCCACCCATTGTCCCCTCTGCAGCTGTCACAACACGCAGACCCCAAGCTCCCCACTGGAAAACCACCCCGTCACTGAGCCCACAGTCTGCGGCAGGACGCCTTGGTCTCTCTCCCGAGCCTTGAAAGATTTAAGGCCGCTTTCCCAGGGCCAGGTAAAGTCACCACGGAGGAAAGGAGGGGCCGCGCGCCGGAGTCGGCCCCGCCCGGAGAGGGGGACCCGCCGGGTCGGGGGGTGGGGGGAAGCGCGCGACATCGCCCCTCCCGTGCCATCTGACCGCACCCAGCCCGACCCCTCACCCCACCCACCCCCACCCTGGCTTACAGCCCAGCTC